ATGAACATAGATATGGTGAAAAAGAATATGAAAATGAATATAAGTTACTACAAGATATTGAATATAGTTCCCTGTACTATACAGTATGAACTTGGTGTTTATCTATTTTATATATAGTAGTTAGTATCTGCAAATCTTGGACTCCCAATTTATCCCTTACCACCCTCTTTCCCCCCGAGTAACCGTAAGTTTGTTTTGTATGTCTATGAGTCTGTTTCTATTTTGTAGATAAGTTCCTTTGTGTCCTTTTTTTTAGATTCCACATATAAGTGATATCATGTGGCATTTTTCTTTCTCTTTCTGGCTTACTTCACTTAGAATGGCAATCTCCATGTCCATCCATGTTGCTGCAAATGGCATTATTTTATTCTTTTTTAATGGCTGAGTAGTATTCCATTGTATAAATATACTGCAGCTTCTTAATCTAGTCATCTGTCGATGGACACTTAGGCTGTTTCCACATCTTGGCTATTGTAAATAGTACTGCTATGAATATTGGGGTGCATGTATCTTTTTGAATTAAGGTCCCCTCTGGATAATATGCCCAGAAGTGGGATTGCTGGATCATATAGTAAGTATATTTTTACTCTTTTGCAGAATCTCCATACTGTTTTCCATAACAGCTGCACCAAATTACATTCTCACCAACAGTGCAGAAGGGTTCCCTTTTCTCCACACCCTCTCCAGCATTTATCATTGTGGAGTTTTTAATGATGGTCATTCTGACTGGTGTGAGGTGATACCTCATTGTAATTTAGATTTGCATTTCTCTGATAATGAGTGACTTTTAGCATTTTTTCATGTGCCTATTGGCCATTTGTATATTTTCATTGGAGAATTGCTTATTTAGGTTCTTCTGCCCATTTCTGGGTTGGGTTGTTTGTTTTTTTATTATTAAGTTGTATGAGCTGTTTATATACTGGCAAAGCATTCTTAATTTAAAAACAGTTATCTATAACTTATAATTTAATTCTTCTGAAAAATGAGCTCTAGTCCAGAGCAGTATGTGTGTCTTCTTGTTCTAATGTGTAGGTGACTCACTGTTCTGTCCAGTATTTTTTTTTAGCTATGTGTGCAGTTTTTCACAAGTGCATATGAGATTTATCAGGGACTGTTTTAGGTATTGAGGTTATACTAATGAACAAAAAAGAAAACAACCTGTGCACTCATGGATTGTATATTGACGTGTGTGTTAGGGGAGGGAGCCAGCAATAAATGTAAAAACAAGTAAAATACATGTTCTTGTCATATAATGATGAATGTTACCAGGAGATATAAAACACTGTTGCTGCCTAAGGCACTCACAGTTATTGTCTCCACTTCACCATATCCCATTCTTGTTACAACCCACTGCACACTGTCTTTTCTAATCATTACCACTCTACCCAATCCATTTTTGGTCAAGATCACTAGCAGTTTCCTCCTTGCCAAATCCAGTGGCCAGTTTTCAGTTCCCACGTTGACTTGCTGTCTAACTCCCTCCTTCTTGACACACTTTCTTCACTTGACCTCCATTCAGGGATGTGCTGGAGGCAGGTCTTACGTCCCCATGAAAGCTGACTGTTGATTATTGGGGAATTTTGTGAGCTGGTTTTAAACCACTGTTAGTTCGAATCAGCCATGGTGGAAGTTGTTACATAGGAAAATCAGGGAGCACTACAAATCAGGGTTTTTTGTTTTCAGAGTTGGTGTCCCAGCACATCTGTGCTTCATGGCACTGCATGGGCAACTTCTGGTTTTCCTCTTACCTTACAGGCTGCTCCTTCTGAGGGTTAACTTGACTTTTCATCTACATATCCAGTCTCTGTCTGTTCACTGCTTAACATCAACGTCAATACTGTCAGAGGCAATTTGACGCCCAGATTCACAGTCCAGTACTGAAATCTTGCCTCTTTGCAAGACTTGTATGCTTCTATGCCCCCTCATATTCAGGAACCCTTCTCATAAGCCTGATCAGCACCTCAAATTATATCTGAGAACAACTTCTTGTCGTCTTCTCTATAACTTACTTGGTTTCTGCAGACTTCCCGTATTAATAAATAGGCACCACATTTGCCCAACTGCTTAGGTCAAAAAGCAGCTAGAGGTGCAAATATTAACTACTATATACAAAATAGAGAAAAAACAAATTTCTTCTATATAGCACAGGGAACTATATTCAATATCTTGTAGTAACCTTTAATGAAAAAGAATATGAAAATGAATATATGTATTTATATGTATGACTGAAACATTATGTTTTATGCCAGAAATTGACATATTGTAACTGACTGCATTTCAATTAAAAAAAGAAGAAGCCAGGAGTCATCTTTTTATACTTCTCTTTCTTTCACATCTTATCACCAACCTCTCAGTATGTCCGTTCGGCTCAGTGGTCACACCTGCCACTTCTCATCACCTTGACAGATGCCATCCTAACCAGACCCGCCATACCTCTTCAGGAGCCACTAAACTGGTCTCCCTGCTTCCATGCCTGTCTCCCTCCAGCCTGGATCCCACACAGTAGCCAAACTAACCTCTTGAAAAACATCAGTCAGATCATGTCATTCCTTTACACAAAATCTTTCACTCGCTTCTTAGAACAATTAGTTAAAACTCTACAGTCTTTTCCGTGGCCTGCAAGACTCTATGTGATCCAGTTCCTAACACCTTCTTCTGATTCTCATGTCACTGTGGCATGGCTTCCCGCTGGCTTTCTCTTTTTCAGAAGCACCAGGCTGGTCCCTGCCTCAGCCCTGTTTGCATCTTTCTCCTCTGTACCTGGAGAACTCTTCTCTTCAGGTGTCCACGTAGCCCCAGCTTCACATCATTTAATTCCATGGTTAAAGTGTTAGTGTCTCAGAGACACCCTTCCTGATCATCCTACCTCAAACACCTGTCTTCCCTTCTCCTCTTAATTATTCCCTAATCTGCTTTATTTTTACGTGTAATGCGTAACACAGCCAGATACTACATCCCTTCTCTATTCATTCACTTGATTACTTTGTCTTTGTCACTAGAAAGTGAGTTTCTTGAGGGCAGTGAATTTGCCTGTCATAGTCACCAGTATATCCCCCGCACCGAAAGCAACGCCAGTATGGGAGGCACAAAAGAATGTTTGGGGATATTCAGATGGCTAGAATTTGAGCTGTTTCTTAAGGAAACACTCAAATTTTACTACACAGATGAAGTAATTATTAAAATCAGAAAGAACTCAGCTAGATTCGGTTAAGTTTGTGACGATCCCTGTTTTTCTATGGAGTTTGTTTACCCAGTAGGTGATTAGGAGCTATTTCATATTACTAAGAAAAGTTGCTTTAAAAACAAAATTGACGTTTGTTTAGTAACTGATTAGAATAGGAGATGCCAGAGGCAGAGAATCAATTGTGAGAAGTAAAGTAGAAATTATGAAGATATTTACAAACTAAGCATTTTCAGTCTTAGCGGAGAGAAGGAGTCATGTTTGAACAATAGTTTTTGGTAAAGAAGAAAGGAGATGGCTTGTTTCTAATCCACCATAAACGTGTGTTGCATGACTTGGTAATTATGTCTTGAATAATTGGCAAATCGATGTTTCCTTTCTTTGTTCATTAATTGTTAT